TGAAAACGGCTTCATTGCCCGATTTAAAAATGAAAATATTAATGCAGTACTTGGAAAACTTCTTCAAGTATAAAATAAGCCAGTTACATACCTCGAACGTCGGCAATCAGCCTATACATCCATCGGGCCTACCGTGTACCGAGTAACAGACACATCGTTTTGTAAGTATTTGTAAGTATTTTTCCCCTGAAAACTATGGAGATCCTTACAAGATATCTAACGCCTACAACAGGAGAGCCGAAGAATGGCCTGCAATCGCACCTGGAGATGATTCTGCCTTGGATCAACTATCTATCTTTCTTACACAGTGTGTGTGCGCAATGGAATCGATTTCATGTCTGTCTATACTCGATCATCCGCACAACCTTCAAACTTTAGTAAGAAAATTACCGTTGTATTTGCAAGACAGATGGAGAAGACATGTCATGACCATCAGGGAATCCAAAGATCATATACCTACAATCGTTGCCAAAATAACTATAATAATAGGTCCCACTATAATATAATATAGGTCCCACTCCTGTTATATATTTTCAATAATCCCCCGGTCCCCCTTAAAATGATCAATGTTGCTGTATTAATGATGTATGATGAGCTAGCTTTTTTAAAAATGCATGACGACTCGCAAGGAACAGGCAACATTGAGAGAGGGAGGGGGGCTTAAGAAGAAGTCAGTTATTTATTCTTGCGTAGTGTGAAGCGCAAATAAATGTCCAAAGTACCAACAATTTTGGCAACGATTGTAGCTTCAAGAAATTCGCAGAGTTTATCAAGAGAGCAGCTGACGTTGCCGCTGATCCTATATTTTCCAAACAAGCCTTGGTAAAAAGTGATAAAGGAGAAAGAAAACATAAAGCGGTCGGCAAAGTCGTCAACACAKTGGGAAGAACTTACAGAGCCACAAGTCATGTAACCAACGTCACCTCACAGTCTGACACACCTCAACCAAGTTCAAACCTAAGATGTCTTTTGTGCGATGAACACCACGACCTTGACGAGTGCAAGTGATTCAAAGAAAAAACTCTAACTGAAAGAAAGAAAACAAGTGTGCTATGGATGTTAYAAATTAGGACATATATCACGTGGCTGCATGCAACAGAGATTATGTACCGTCTGCGATGRACGACATCCTACTGGTCTTCACGATTACAACTTTGTCCTCACTTCGAAGCCGAGCATCTCAAAGACATGTAACGCTGAAAGCAATGTTGTTTCAAACTTAAGAATAGATGCCTCCGAAGCAAACAAAGCTCAACCAAKCYAAGCTCAATCGTTACCTATAGTTCTTGTCAAGCTGCAATGGATGGGAAATCAGATATTCACTTATGCCATGTTGGATAGTTGTAGTACCGGCACAAGGCTTTGTTACCGAAGATGTCTACGAGAGATTGAACATAAAGGGTACAGACACGACGACTCGACTAAAGACTATGAATGGAATATCAACCCAAAGTACAAAGGTTGTAACTGGTCTCAAAGTCTCTGGTTTCAAGGGAGAAAACAGCATAGAGCTTCTTGAAAAGCGTAGACACGGTATACGTCGCAAGGTCTCGAATATCWAAGAATTCTAAAAAGCTTCAGTGAMTCTCCTGTTCTATGATACGATTGTTTTAAGGCAAACTTCTGACTTGGCAAAAAACTAAAAAACAAATTATACGCTCCTGCAAAGGCAGGAGGTACGAGGTGGAATCCGGGGGTATTACCTACCGGAAAATTTTGAAATCACTCTCGGAAATGTTATTTCCAGCGTTTTGAAGCATTATCCCAGGCATATTTCTGAACGCTAAAACCGCACACACGGTCACACGATATTCAAAAAAATCCCAAAAACTTCGCAAAACGCTTCAATTTTAATTTTTCATGCTTAGTTTTTACACAATCTTAAATACAATGAAAAGTGAAATTTCATAAGGAGGCTCTGCGCTTCTCTATTTAAGAAAATTCAAAATGGCGGAAAAATTATTGGGGGGAGGGGGGCTATTAGATATCATGATATCACTAAGCGACATTAAGTCTACCACGTTTGATTTTATCAGTCAAAGTAAGGATCATTTAAAATATTCGCCTGAAAAATAACTTTTTGGAGATTCTTCTGACTAGTAAGTTGGTTCATGTACAAAACACTTCGATAAGTATACTTTAAGTAGGCTCTTTTCTTTTTAATATTGCATTAAAAAAATTGAATTATCAGTGTTAATTACATGTCCTTTTAGGTCAAGAAATTTTGCATATTTGGAACTAGAMGCTCTTATTAGACCGTGAGTTCGGCTATTTTGGAAAAAAAGAAAAGAAATATATTTCTGGCTCGATATTTCTATCGTTTTGAAGTAGTTGCAGAGAGCAGTCAAAAAGAATATCGTATCGTGTGAATAAACAGTTTTGAACAGTACATTAATTATAAAGTGAAGGTAACGCATTCTTKCTTTTACTATGTATTAGAAGTAAAAAATATATATTCTACGCCATAATTCACATTCATATATAATCATATGATTAGACAGAATRTAACATAATCTTATCGTGTTTAAAACCTTTCAATCGTTCTCCTATACGTGCATCCATGTAAGACCATGTAATATCATGTCTTTCTCAATTTTCAAAAATAGCTAGCCCGACTTCACGCTCCAAGAGCGTCTAGATATGATAAAGAGTCTTTTATTGAACACAAAATACAAGGATGTCGCCTATTAGAACTAAACAATTGATAGACAAAAGATTAGATAATATTTCGGATGTCACGATATAAGTACCAGTCACTGTTACTCAACTGAAAACTAAGAATTCTTCTTAGTGAAATTTTGTATTTGTCCGTTAGCCTCTTAATGTTTCTAAATCAAAATACAGATTACYATACATGTATTCTTGCGTCCCAGTGAGATCGCACTCGTAACCGCTCTCTTAGAGAAATGATMAAAACGCTCAAACATTTACTGTTAAGAAAGTTTGCTTGTGCTAAAAATAAGTCCAAATGGCATCACAGCCAAATAAGGAATATAMGCTCATAGYTGACCTGGTTGTGTGATCGATCTAAAAGCTATACGACGGAATACCATGCATTCCTTTTCGCTGGGTCCAAAAACGTCTTATTTCCCAGGAGAAAAAGATTGGAAATGCTAAGATAGGAAATACGTGTGCCATTTAATATAACTGTAGATATATTACTAAGGTTTAGTTGTTCGCGTTTTGCGTTCTAGACACGACGTGCAAAATACGCCTGAATCAGTGCCACTGTAAAATTAAAGTACCCCTAGTCAACAGCTGTGTAACCATGTGCCAGTATTTTACAATTTTTCTCTTCGTATTTTTATATTGCTCCGAGAAAAACTTCGTATAGAATTATTTACTCTTTTTAAAATGTACTACTTGTTATGTTTTAAAAACTATTTGTCCATGGTATATTAAAGTGTACAACATTATACGACACTTGAAACTTAATACTTGCTATGGTCGTCACCACTTAGATTATTATATTGCTAGAAACAAGTAAACATAAATTTAAATCCTCATTGCAACTAGCTTTTGCTTATTAGTATTATATCGATGTGAATATCTATTTAAGGAACATAACAAAAAAATTAAACGTTTTTTAGAGAATTTGAGAGAGATTATTTGTTTGTAAGTTTATATCACAGGGTCATTCGAGGGTCATTGATGTGGTAGGATGACGCTCCCTGGCATTCTTAACATTCCTTTAAGAACAGTTTACGATCAATATTACGATTATTACTCTGTTCGGTGATCTCGCATGCTGAACATCCTAATTGCGTCTTGTTAACGAGTTGATTGTAAGTAACGTTTCAAGATGTCGGCCGCAACAACATCCATGATGGACAAGGTCCGAGAGAAGATGCAAGCGCTTAAAGATAAGATTGAGGAGGCGGAAGAGAGAGAACAGATGGCAAAGGCCGAGATGAAGGATGCAGAAACAAGGTCTTACCAACATGAATCAGACCTTGACTCCATGCAGAATAGGATGACATTAATCGAGAAAGACCTAGAGAAGACTCTTAAGCAGCTTGAAGAGAAAAAGGCAAGGCTTGACGAGCTAGAGGAGAAGCAAGAACAGGATGCAGAAGTCGTTAAGAACCTGGAAGGAAACGAGCTAGACGGAGACGAAAAGCTAATAGAATTGGAAGAAATGYTGAAAGAAGCCACAGCCCAAGCTGATCAATACGATCACAGGAACATTGAAATCATCCAAAAGCTACAACAAACCGAAAGTGAGCTGACAAAACAAAGGAAAAGAGCCGATGCAGCGGAAAATTTGTTGGAGAAGCTGCAAACAACCGCTGATGAGGCTGGTGACAACTTAAAAAGTTTGGAAATGAAAGACAGCAACGCATCGCAATGGGAGGCGGAGACCGAGGAAAAAATACAGTTTTTGGAAGAGCAGTTGAAAGAGATATTAGCTCAAGCCGAAGATACAGAGCGACGCTGTGCGCCTCTTGAACGCCAACTAGACGAACAAAGCGTACAGATCGAAGAGTTTCGACGAAAGAGAGATGAGGTGGAGAAAGAAATGGAAGAAATGGCTGAATTAGTAGAAGAAAGCATTGAGTAGAAAAACGAACACTGCGATACTTTTAGACAGGTATAATTATTGCCAAACATTTATATTGTTGTTACTATTATTAAAGGGTAATATGATCAATGCGAAGGAGACTATGACCATTGTTAATCAATCACGATTGTGTTTGACAGCTTTTGATATTCATGTTGTTAGAATTCCAAATTCTTATTAGCCCAATAAATAAGCTGTTATTATTCCTCGCATCTTTTTGTATATTTTTATGTACTATGAGTTGAGTTTATTTCAAGAACAATRTAGACATTTCATTATTTACATATGTTTATAATACCTGCTAATAGCGTAAGCTAATCTTGGCAGCTATGAGAATATTTGATATAGGAAAATCAGAAGCAAAGAAACTGAGATAAATAGCATCAAAGGCAGTACATATAGATATAATATGAAATTTATTGAAAAAATAGTTTATACATTAGACATTATATAGAGTGTACGAAATATCAATGTATTAAAGTATTTACTTACAGGGTCGTGACATCGGATATATTTTCACTCTTGATTCCGTTTTTAACAAAAATTTTATTGTCACGACCCTGTTTATTAATCAACAGCAGAACAGATTCAATTTTGTAATCAATCTATGAGAGAACTACTGATTTGTTGAATAGTCTTCAGACAAAAAATCCCGATTAGACGCCGAAGTATTTCCGCTTTAAAATATTTTTTTGACAGATTTTTTAGATCTTTTTGTGGTTACTCGCGTCTATTAAGGACGAGATAAACTAAACCCCGAGTTAGGATCTCGAGTTGGATCTCGAGTTGGATYTYGAGTTGGATTTCGAGTTGGATCTCGAGTTGGATTTCGAGTTGGATTTCGAGTTGGATTTCAAGGTTGGAATTTTGTTAAAATTGGTAATCTTCAATAATTATTGAGTCATGAGAATCATTGAGAAAAACGAATTTTTCGCAATTGTTTGTTACAAAACGTCACAACATGGTCTCATTCAAAGTTAATAATAATCTCGAAAATGAGCTCGGGACTATGCACTTTTCTTTTTGTATTCTTATTCTTCGATGAGAACCACTACGTGGAACTTAACGTGCCCAGTCGAATTAAGAGGACATGGCGTAATACAGTGCGTAGCAGTTATCGATATGTGCTATTCAGATTTTTCGCTTTTTTT